TTAACAAAAGTCAGCAATCTTATGACACTCATGACATCTGAGTAATTGCTGCAGACTTTAGGAAAGCACTTGCAGTATTTTCATATTCTTAAAAAATAAAAATAAAAATAGTCTATTCCTGAAGCAATTCCATGCCACTCATTATTTCACAGCCTTTGATATCATGTCCTTACATTCATATGCAGAGTACAAAGAAGTGAAGCAGTGATAGTCTTCATAGCAATTAACTACAGTGCATTGTGCTATTAATCTGCTTGAAAATGTGTGACCTCTGTCCATGTATTTACACGCAGTTATGTTTGGAGTTAAATTACTTAAATCTATGGTGCAAGTATAATTTTCAACCACACAAGTATAAAGGCAAACTAGGTGTTATAGTTTTTTATGGATTTCCAAAAGACATTTGACAGAGGAAACTAATGAATACTGGCACATTTGAAGAATAGAGATCCTTGCATACCTAAATAACTTGTATAAAGACAGGAAACAGGTGACAGGAGTATATTTTTACTCTCTTCATAATCGGTCAAGAAATGTCATCAGAAGAGCTCTGTTGAAGTCTTAGCTGTAATCTCCACTAATCCACATAGCCCAGAGTAACAACAAAACATGTAGCTATCTTACATTAAAGTCAAAGGCAGACTTTGAAGACTTGTAGTAGGACATTGCTAGATAGTCTCAGCAAGAAAATGTCATATGAAGCTCTATGTAGACATACATAAAGTGACACATATGAAATAATCATGGCTTCACATATTATCTTCATGGCAGACATTGAAATGACTGTTATTAAGCAAGGACAAGTTTGCAGCAGGGCAAATTGAAGTAGACACTTCCGTGAAACTAGCAGCTCCATAGCAGAAGCCCATTTATAACATTTCATTTTAATATTTATTTGAGTTGGAACAAAGAGTCAAAGAGAATCTTCATCTTCTACTGTAAAGATCCATGAGTTCCTCACACTTTGAAGCAGTTATTCTCCTTCGTTTACGAAAATGATATCGTATAATTAGATGTAACTTTTTTTAAAAAGAGCAATAAAGATGATCAGTGGTACAGAACAGTATCAATACACCGAAATAGGTGGTCAAGGACTTCGCATCTTTGAAAAATGATGATTTACAGTGGATGTGATAGAGAACTAGAAATCACAAAAAGCATGATGAGGGTGAGTTAAAACTGCCTGCTTTTGTGTACTCCAACAACTAAGAGCAGTCAAATAAAGTCAGTTGGAGTAAATCTCAGTGTAAACAGAGGACATGCTTCATAGAATAGGTCGAAAAACAGAAAAACCCTTTAGCAAATAGGACCTTAGTCTCAAAGTCAGTGCTCACTCAAGGACCATCTTTACTAAATAGTTTTCAGTTCTTTTAATTACACATGTTCAAATATTTAAAAAGCCAACCAACCAACCAACCAACCAACCAACCAAAAAACCAGACTAGTATTTATAGGAAACAATGTAATTTTATTCTTTTTTGATCCTTCACCAGGGGATCAGGGAAAGTTTAGGGATTGTTCATTACAGAAAGAGACATAATTAAAGGGTGTAAACACAAGCCAGAGTGTTCTAGAACCAAAAATCAGAAAAGAACATCAAAAGTCATTCTACTATATTTATCATCACTGTAAAAAGTGATTTTTTTTTTTTTCCCTAGTGGACTTTGGAAAAGTAGGCAGAATGTTATGTACTGAACTACCTCCTGTGGGAGGAAATCATATTGGATAGGAAAGAATTTAGTGTCAGAAGTTTTGAGGGAAAAGAAAATCGGACTTTGTGTACTATATATTTCAGAGACAATTGGAATACAATTTTCAAAAAGGATTTGGGGAACAATTTTATTTCAAGTTGTTTTTTGTTTGGTTGGATTTTTTTATTTGGTTGTTTTAATTTACTGTACTACTATTCTGTGCTGGAGCCCTTAATGTAACTACATCTAGAGTTGTATTTTCTTATATTTTCTTTCTTACAATTCTCTTTTTTTTTGAAAGGGTTTTCAAGGAAACTGATGCACATGAAACATGAGGGAATGGGTGAGTAACACAGACATAACTGAAAAATTTATGTCTTTGTTTCCTTCTGCTAAATCATTTTATGTATCTCAGTAGAGTGGTACATTTACCTTTTCATGCATAAAAGTGTATCCCATCATATTCCTTCATTCAAACGTATTTATTAAAACATTACAGGCAGCTGCTACACAATAAAGACTAGAAATTTCTATTTTGTTTTCTGCTTACCATACTTTCAAGATTATGATTTCTACAGAGACAGGTATAATTTATGACTTCCCGTGCAGCTTAGGCAGGAGATCGGTTCCAAACAGATTAGCACTGTCAAAATTTCAACTATCTATTTATGCTTAGCAGCAGAAAATTAGATATCTGTGTGACTTTGCTAGAAGAAATTTACGTGCTCAAGGAATTGAGCTGCTTCCACAGTAGACAAGGATTCCGAAGGTCTGTATTTTAGATGTTATTTAAATCTTCTTATAAATCTAGACATAATGTTACACTGCCACAGTGCCACTAAGATTACAGAATAAAAATATATAAATCCAAAACTTCCCTCATCTTCAAAATACTAAACAAACTGCACATCTAAATATGAAAGTGTATATCGGCAAAGTTTTTAAAAAGCAATAAATTGGTATCGCTGGCAATGTATGCTATAGTACTGTCTTGCTCCAATTTATAGGAGGGAGAGGAGGTTCTTTTATTACCTATATACTGTCTCGCTCCAATTTAGAGGAGGGAGATGAGGTTCTTTAATATCTGTATACCCGATGTGAGATTAAGAAACAACGATTCACATGTTGTTGCATCCAGTTTATTACTAAACTTAATGAGGGAGACGGAGAAGGGAAGGAGTGCAATAGAAAAGATGGAAAAGAAGCAGGAGTTGCGTAAAGTGGGGAGAGTCACCAGCAGGATCCAGCAGCGGTCCCGTTGCACGGTGTTTGAAGGTCCCAGGCAGACGCAGCAGAAGACGGGGAGCAGCAGCGTGGCCGGCACTGGGCAGCAGGCAGGTAGACAAAGAAGTCGAGGAGCCAATTCTTGAAGCAGCAACAGCGGTCAGGCAGCAGGCTCAGGAGAGTTCGACAGTATGCAGGAATCACCTCAATCTTCAGGAATCCCTCTTCTTCTTCATGAGGAATCTGTTGTCAGAAACCTCCGTTCTTCATGAGGAATCTGTTGTCAGAACCCTCCGTTCTTCATCATGAATCTGTTGCCAGAAACCTTCTGTTCTTCTACATGAGGAATCAGTATTGTCAGAAAACCTCTGTTCTTCATGAGGAATCTGTTGTCAGAAACCTATCCTCATGGTTTTCAGTTCCTCTTTTATCCTCCTTGTTCTCCTGACTACATGACAAGGATGGGCCTCGAGCAAGAGTCATTGAGTACCCTCTAAGATGGCCCATCATCCTGAGATAGGTCCACACAAAGGAGCACTTCACAGCTATTTAGCTGCAGTTCATCTCGCTCTTGTCGCCCCTGGCCTTGTCCATTCCCCCAGACAAAGGATTTCACAACCTTTGCCTAGGGCTTGCCTGGACTTTGTTCATCTATCTCCTTAAGACAAAGGTTTTCACGGTCCTTGCTTGGGACTTGAAAAAGTCTATCTGTGTCCCCAGCAAGCTTTGAGACACAGAAGTTAATCTCTTACATATAACTGGCGTGAGATTAAGAAACAATGGTTCAAATGTTGGTCAACCAGTTTATTACAAATCTTAATTAGGGAAATGGGGAAGGGGACAAGGGCAATAGAAAAGATAGGAAAGAAGAAGCAGGGAGTCTTTATAGGAAGCAAGAGAGAGATGGTCACCACCATGGATCCAGCGTGGTTCAAAGTTCAGTCTTTGATCTTCAGTAGTGGTGGGTAGTCGGGCATTGTTCTGTTGATGACGACGGCAAGGACGACCAGGCAATGATGGCCCCTTTTCAATGGTTTCAAAGTGGTCAAGTCAGCTGTTTTTGGAGTGACAGCTCAATCCAAAGTGGTTGAGTCAGCTCTCCTTGGAGTGGCAGCTTCTGGCTCTGGGATCTCAGCAGGAAACTCCTTTGTTCCTACTTTCCTGGCCTTGCCAGCAGATAAGAGGGAGCAGGGAGGTGCCAACTTGTACCTTACCTTCACAGGATACAATCGCATCATCCCCCAGCCTCCCATACCAAGCTGGAGCTGTTCAGTCACAGGCCAGATCTTCTGCCAGTGAACACTCCTGAGCACTCTCCTCCGGAGGCAAGCAGCTCTGGAGGAAGGGGCTTTCAAATGTTCCCAAAGTGATATCGATTGTCACACATCACTTGTCTCCTCAACAAATCACTGAGTCTTATCACAAGAAAAACCTCGGGAAGCAAGCTTTGAGCCAAAAAAACAATGAAGGATTCTCACAAGTATCCTTTAGAAAACTTGGTATGATTATTGTTGTTGTTATTATTGTTATTATTATTATTATCATTTTATTACTTACCCTAATTTTGGAAAAGAATTTGTCTCACTTAAGACTTATAGTAAGAAATATTGTAATACCTACTGTAAAATTGCCAAGGCATGAGAACTTTTTTCTGAGACCATACTGCCCTTCATTTTAAGACAAATTATATATGTTCTTATGTGACTCTGACTTAAAGTTGTCTTTTAAAGGAAAGTAAAATAATAATAGCATTCTGTAAATATCACCAAAGTTGAGAGTAAAGAAACAGCTATAAAAGGAAACACAACTTAGAAGTAAAAATGACGTAGTCTTTGATTTAAGATACAGATTACCTTTGTTTTCTACAATTTAAATCAAAGTCGCTATTCATACTTAAAAATACTTTGCAACTCTTTTCTTATTTGAATGCTGAAGCACATTTGCAGGATAATACTGGTGTCATAGTTGTCAAGACACCCAGACGGTCAATTTTTAGGAATAGTTACTCAGAAATATCAAAATGTATGTATCTTTTACTTTACAGGAATTAGCTGAAATTTCTCTGAGCAATCATTTCTAAAATTTCTGGCCATAATTTTCTTTAAGACGAGTAACCTTCTCATCAGAAAATAAATAAACAGATAGGTAGGGAGGTAGATAGATAAAAATAAATCTACAAATAAATTTATTATAAAATAAGAAACCCTTATAAAAGTTAGATGTGCACTGAGTAAAATAAACTATAAATATAAATGTCCGCAAGTCAATCTTCCCTTGTTCCCTTGACCTACATTATTTGCAGTTGTTTCACTTAATCTTAATTCTCAGTTCAACAACTTTAAAGATTATCTGACTTGCAATAAAATCTACCCAATTTTCTCTTTCTCCCTGTAGCTGGAAAACTTTGCTGCATCATCTCCCTTGATTTCTCAGGAGTGTCTCCTCACTTTCAGTGATTCTTAGAGCCTCTAAGATGACCTCATTTCCTCCTCTAGGACCCTCTCATGTTTCAGAGTAGTGGCTGTCTCATTGAAGTAGCCATCTCCCTGGTCTCTGGAATATATAAGCACACCAACAACCATCATTACTGTTATTAAACAAACAGAACATATTTCAGAGGAACAGCAAGAACAAAGATATGTCATACTAATTGCAAATAGCAAAACACAAAGACTAACTATGAAGAAGTAAAATTTATATCATTCTTAGAAATAGTCTGAAAAAGGGAGGGAATAAAGTTAATGGATTTTCAGCTTAATCTACAGATGTTCAGATATGATGAAATGTTTCAAGTTTCATCAATCAATAAGCCCTAGGAGGAACCACTTAACTTACTTAAATGGATAAGTGATAGAGATCTTAAATTTTTTACAATCCAAATTGCTCCTTATTATATGTCCATTTAGATATATATGTTCTATGCATATGGATATCTTATCTTGCAAAGTGCAGAATTCAGCTCAGAAACCAGTCCTGTAAACCTTATGCAACAGTTCCTCCATCAGCTTGTTAACTTTTCACAATTCCTGACTGCTATCCAGTTGTTGTAAGCAAGTCAATCCACTGGCTTTTAAAATTAAAGCAAGTAACACTGCAAGTGTTTTCTAAATCTGATATGCATGTTTTAATTTTCTTAGCCTGAATTCCTAACAGATGATGATCTGTGGTAAACTGAACATGTGCATTTTATAAATTCTCAATAGAGACAGAAGGTATCAAAAGCAAATGACTGAGTTTTAGACTTTTCAGCAAGTAATTCTAATGCCACTGAGGTCAGTACAACAACTTATTTTTTGATAAATATATGCATTGTTAACTGGCATTATGCAACACCCAGTATGATGCAGACATCCATTTGTTAAAACTCTGAATAATTCTAGTCTCCAGATCTACAATCCTATTAACTTTCTTCTTTATTCTAAAATACACATAAAATGGAAGAAAAGCAGCTTGGGAATGATTGGGCTAGATTTCATGTGTCATGTAATACTTTTATGACTAACTCCTCATGTTTGGATTGGCAAGAAATACATTAGCTTAGCTTTATTTTGATTAACACTGTCATCTAACCAAATGGCAAGAAAGTCAGGATGTAAATGTGGAAATACAGTATGAAATATGAAATCAGATAACAGTTTCCTGGAGGTAGACTCTGCGCAATTAGAAAACAAAACCTCCAAATAATTAACCTCTGCATCATATTAATTCCAATCTCTTCTTCTCCCAGCTTTTCTTCCTTCATTCTTGCCAAAATTTGATTCTTTTGATAGAAGAATGTAGGGTAGTACATTAAATAATCTGATATTTCCTAATACATAATTCTTCTAAACAATTCTTAGTGACATTTCCAGCAATAAATATGGCTTTATACACAGCAGAATTGTAATGATCAAGACAGACTGTGATGCTTTTGAAACCTTCAGAGAAACAGAGGAACAGGAAAGAGCAGTTTAATTACTCTTAACGATAAGCCAGACATTTAGTTAACCAAGAGTATTACTTTCTCAGAATTCAAATAAATATAATATCACAGCTCTTTAACATTTCAATTCAGTTGTCAACAAAAAGCCTTATAAAAATATTAAATTTATTTTGCCATTCTTCCTGGACAGAAATAACAGTCCTTATATATCTGGGAGTTTGGTACAATTGATTGATATGTGTAACAGGTAATAAGTATCTCGTATTACTGCCAAGAAAAGGCAATATATTTCTCTCACCTTTGGTTTTTTCATGCTTATTTTGGATTTTAAAAGTTCAAATTAATGACTACATAAGACCAGAAATGATTACAACAGTTCATTTTGATACAATAAGTACTATTAGTTAAAAGTACTGCTCTATCTTAATGTCTTCTATGCTATGTCTTCTCCAATGACTGGTATTTTTTGCCTCATAATCAGCAGTGTACAGAGAAGGTACACTTTGGTGAAGTAGAATAAATGTCATCACTTCTTATCATATACAATGTTTAAAAAGTAATGTCAGCACTAAATCATAACCTTGTTGAAAGGATTGCAGTTGGAACATATGTTGCATCAAACTTATAATTTTTTTATTTGATATGGCAGTTACAATGACTAGAAAAACGGGCTTGAAAATGAACTGCTTTATGAACACAAACTGTGACTAAAATACATTTCATTTCACACAGGGATATCAATGTTCATGACAGATTTTCAAAAGTTTAAGTGAATAGAGTATTAAATACTGAGATTGAAAATATATCATTTTAATTTTCACAGCATCAATATTTTTTTTCAAATCATTTATTCAGTGTGTTGATATACTTAAAAAATGGAAGCTACATTAAAATCAAATTTAATATATTTGGAAAAGAAATATATGCTATTTATTCATAAATAACTATTTTCCACAGAGATAAAAAACTTGAACATTTTGTTTTCTTGGCTAGTGGCTATTCTTGAATTTCTGATTATCATGTGAGAAATTGTATCTTCCTACTGAAATATTTAAATAATTATAAAACTAACTCTCACAGAAATGTGTACAGATAACAATAGTCACAAAAACCTGCTAAGGGTTAGGGTACAGAAGGAGGAACTTTCACCGTTCTGAATTTACAAAACATTAAGAAATTCAAAGCATCTGGTTTACTTCAGAGGTTCATTATATTATTTTTTTATTACATTTTTTTTAATTAAAAAAAAAAATCATTTGCACCTACACTTTTGTTATTTTAAAAGAAAAGAAACATAGCCAATTAGCACTTGCGGTTTTTCCATAAGGTTTAAGAAAATGGACACATTGGTATTTCTAAGTGTGATAGAAATTCTGTTCTGGATAGTATGGGATTAAGAATACCTACAAGAGGATTGGTGCTGAGAATATTTTGAACTGGTAGAATGCCTAAGTTCTTAGCTTGTGCCCAACAAATCAACTTTAACACAAAGCTTTAAACAAATGGTAAAACTCATTTACTAAATAAATTTTTTAATTGTAGCAAGTTTTATATATTGAAACATATTTTCCCACACAGTCCTTTTTTTTTTTAGTTTTATATGCTTTATAATAGAACACTGTGATTGTAACATAGGGAGGTGGTGAATTCTTCTGTGGTGATTAAATGTATTGAATATTCCACTCATTAAATTCTTGAATTTTTTCATATACAGTTAGTGAACTAAAATTTAAAAACACACTAGGTTACAGGGTAAGAAATGTCTCTATGTTAATGTCATGTAGAGGTTACGGTTTAATTACTACTATAAACGTAGTGGGAATGGAATGGAATGGAATGGAATGGAATGGAATGGAATGGAATGGAATGGAATGGAATATAGGTAACCTGGGAGGAATATGAGATATTTTCCAAGGAGCTAGGGATCAAGTTAGGAAAGCTGAACCTAGACACTCATGGGAAACAAAAAAGGGCTTCTATAAGGACATCAGTGACAAAAGGAAGACAAGATAAAATGTGATTTCTCTCCTTAAAGAAATAGAAAACCTGGTTATCCTACACTAAAAAGTCCCAATGTTTACTTGCATCACAGGCCTTTAGGCCCCAGAGTTTACACTGGGTGGCTGTAACAAAGAAGATAAACTTTCAGTAGAAGATCACGTCAGGCAAAACTTGAGCAAACTGGATATTCGCTAGTCCGTTGGCAACGATAGGATACAGCCACAAGTACTGAGGGAGATGGCAGATGTGATTACAGGACTGCCCTCTCAATTGTGGCAACTGGTTAAAGTGCTTGAAGACTGGAGAAAAGCAAATGTCACTCCTATCTTCAAAAAGAGCAAGAAGGAGGACCCAGGGAACTACAAGCTGGTCAGCCTCACCTCAACTGAAGAGATGGAAGCCAATTTTAGGCACAGAAAAGAGAAGAAAATCATCAAAAGTACTCAGCATGGATTTACTCAAGGAAAGTTGCACCTAATCAACCTGATAAGCTCTTATAATGAAATAATCAGCTTGATGGATGAAGAGGTAGCAGTGGTTTCCCTGGTCTTCAATAAGGCTTTTGATACTGTCTTTCACAAGATCTGAGAGATTAGCTTTTAAAGTATGGGCTGGATGAGCTAACAGTGAAGTGAGTTGAAAATTGTCTGAACAGTCAGAACCAGAGGGAGGTAAATGGTGTATGTTGACTGAGAGTTGACTTAGAGTGACTACTGGATTATCCCAAAGGTCAATACTGGATCCATTTCTGTTTTAACATCTGCATTAATAGTCTGGACAGTGGGGTATAGTGCACTCTCAGTAAATCTGCCAGTGATAGAACACAAGGGAGTAACTGACTCACCAAAGGGCTGTACTGCCTTCCAGAGTAATACTGACAGTCTGGAGAGGTGGGATGACAAAAATCTCAAAGAGTTCATCAAGAAGTGCACAGTGTACTCGGTGAGGAAAAACTCCAAGCACCACTAAATGTCCACCCAGCTGGAAATCATCTTTGCAGAAAAGAACCTGTGATCCTGGTAGACACCAACATGAATCAGCAATGTGCTCTTGCCACTAAGAATTCTTACTGCATTATGAAAAGTATCACTGGCAGGTAAGGAAAGGTGACCCTTGCCCACTACTCAGCATTGGTGAGGCTGTACCTTGAGTGACTGTGTGCAGCTCTGGGCTGCCAGTATGAGACTGAACTGGAAAGAGTCCAACAGAGGGCCACCAAGATGATCAAGGTGCACCACTCTTGAGAGGAGAGGCTGAGAACTGGGGCTGTTCAGATTAGAGAATGGAAGGCTCAGGGGGAATCTTATCAATCTGTATAAATATCTAAAGGGAGGATACAAAGATAATGGAGACATGCTATTTTCATTGGCATCCTGTGCCAGGACAAGAGGCAATGAGCTCAACCTGCAACAGAGAAGGCTCCTTATAAAGCCTGAAAGAAGAGAATTGGCCTCAACACTAAGAGAAATATATATGCATATATATATGTTAGAAACTGAAGAAATAACTAAGAACTGCTAGAAACCAAGCTAAATTAGGCATTTCAGAGCACTCAAAAGAGATTGAGATTAGTATCTTAGTCACAAAATAAACATTTAAAAAAACACAAAAACAACTGTGATTACTATGC